ACCAGTATAACATACCGATTGAGTAAACCAATTTTCTTTTTCAGTAGAACTGCCAATTTTTTCTTTCCCCTTCGTCGAAGATGGAGCGATACTTAGGTTGTTCAAGTGATTCACATTTGAATTCGCCTAGGAAGTACAAAATAAGGCATTATGTTAGCATGTCCAAAAAGCATAACTTTTTAAAATCAAATTCATAATAATACCACAACACAACAATTCTCCTCGATGATGGTATGGAGTCGTGTGGGTGAGAGAGAAGTGTAGGAGTGAGAGTGAGAGTGAGAGTGAAGGGTGAGGAACTCAAAAATATCACCGACAATTCAGTGTATATTACTCTAATCGAAATACCAACACGTTAGATATGTTGTGTTAATTGATTTTTATCAACAGATAAACAATGATCAGTACAACATACCAGTTGAGTAAACCAATTTTCTTTTCCAATAAAATAGAAATTTTTTTTTTCCCCTTCGTCGAAGATGGAACAACACTTAAGGTTGTTCAAGTGATTCACATGTGAATTCTCCTAGAAAGTACAAAATAAGACATTAGTCAAAAAATGCAAACTAATATCAAAATGAAAATTTTTAACAATATCAGTAGCGTTACCTTATCCATATGTAATTGATTAAGCGCACATGGACAGGTATGTTGTTACTATCACTTAGATCAACCTATAAGAGCAGACTTAATAAATTGAACATGACTTAATAAATTAAACATAAGTTAAACATGACTTAACAAAAAATCGTGATAAATCAGCATGTTCTAAGCATTGACATAATGATACAATTATTAAATTAAATTAATTTTTAAATCAAAATAATATTACTCATACTCATAAACTATTTCTTATCTCTCTCTAAAATTGATGGGATTCCAATTCCAGCTTGTTAATGAAGAGAGTGAGGGAAAATGACTATTATACCCATAAAAATTTACATGTATATTTTTTTTGAGGATGACTGCATATGTTTCTAACAATTATAATTTTTTTAACTCAGTTATAAGTTTTTGAAGTACAAATAATTATAATTTCACCTTACACTATTATAAAATGTAATTTATCATTTAAAAATAATAACATTTAATTCGGTACCACAGTGCTATCCTACATTTTTAAATACTAATGCAATTACAATGGCAATCGTCTACCTCTGTAGCTAAAGATTAAAGAACCGGTTTATAGAAAATAACAATCGTAAAATAATTTAGTTTCTCAAACGTCAAGGTGGGCCAAGGTTTTCAATTGACTTAATAAGCCATTGTTAAACTTCAAGATTGCTCTAACCGAAATACCAAATGTAAAAAAAATATGTCAAGTTGGGTCAGATATTATGAGGTTCACATAAAAAATTAATGAATGAAAATTGCATAAAGATGGTTAGCTCATCATTATTAAGAGCCTGGATTATAGAAAGAGCACAAAAATAATACAAGCCTCTCTAATCTCCCACCAAGAACAATAACAATAGAAAGAGCACAAAAAGGGTAAGCTGAATTGACAACACCTTAGTTTTGCTCAAATAACATGGCAAGGCATTAACATGGAGGAAGCCCTTGACATTTGAGAAATTAAACAGAGGGTAAGAGTTTTTATCAATGAAACAATCATTTTACCTAATTCGACTAATTTAAAACTGATACAATACAACAAAAACGGGGACAAATATTAAACTTAAAGATTGATTTTGGCCAATACATACTTGATTAGGTGCTCCGTTTACAACAAACAAAACACAGTTTTTTTTCTATGACCATGCACAAAGTCAGGTGTTTCATGTATTTTCGAACTGTCTTTCACATCGTAATCTGTAAAATGCTTTTTCAAAATTTAACTAAGGCAACATACGAAACTCTTCTTGCACCATAAACTCCAAAATCTAGCAATATTGGACAATAATGACAGCTTCTATTTGAACAAAATAGATAAAGACTTACCAAAACTTCAAAATAACATTAAATATCTTGAAAACCAAATCACTTTAACATGATTAGAGAAAATAAGCATTGGGAATAGGAAAATGGCGCATATAATACTCCTGGGGCTAAGCACGACATGTATTGACCAATTTTATTACAACACATGCACACAAACCATCCCACTTTCCATTGGCATGCCACCAAGACTATAAAGGTCATTACTACCTGTAGGTGTTGTGGTGCTTCTGAAATCAACCTAACCGTAGTGGCAACCAATCCTAAAAACATATCCAAAGTCACAGCAAAATTAATAAAGCATTAATAACAGTCGGTCAGTTCTGACTGTTTTTGATTGGTTGAAGACTGAGCAGTTTGTCTGTTCTGACTGTTCTAGTCTGTATTTGCAAATTAGTCTGGACTGGTACTGTGTTGTTACTCTTGAGATTGGTAAGTAGGAAAAGGCCAGGAGTAGGGTTGTGTGGAAGGTGTTTACATTGGTCTGTGATGATCAGATGAAAGTTTTAATGACTGGAATTATACTAAAAGCAGAAATTAGGAAAAAAGAAAATCATTCTCTAAAGTTTTAATGACCAAAATTTACATAGAACCAACATAAAATGTAGGAAGTAAATAAATCAGCATGTTCTAAGCATTGACATAATGATACAATATTAAAATGACATTTCATCAGTGGTGGGCTAACCTAGGATTGTACCAATGTAGATCAAAAAATTGGTCAGAAACTTGAATCTTAATGACCATTTCAGTTCAGGTTAGCGTATGACTTAATGGGGTCAGAAACTTGAACCTTAATGACCATTTCATTTCAGAAACTTGAACCTTAATGATCAAAGAATTGGCCCAACACACACACAAACGTTTCAATTGCCTTTGCTGGGTCTACCATGTATAATAATAAAGTAAGGACATTTCAATTTCAGTTGTTTGCTGTAATAGATTCCAATATAACTCACAATTCACAAATCCATGCCTAAGAGCAAGTTCAAACACAAAAAAATTATAAATCCATTAACAACACACATAGTCTGTTTTTTCTTGTTTCTAAAATTCAGAATAGTCAAAGAGAAAATATAAATGGTCATTCTGAATTACCTTCCAAACCTGTAATAGCACCTTCAGCAAACTGGAGCAATCTTCTCACTTCACCTGGAAAGGACAAAAAAAAAAGGCAGTTAACTTGCAAGTGAACGAATAGGAAGATCAAGAGTGAAAAAAAAAGACAGAATATAAAAACAACTTCCCAGACCACCTAAAAATGAGAACATTATATGTATCCAACCAAGAAAACCATCTAGTTTAGTATACAATTTGACCAAAAATTAATTTTCTAGCAACAACCCATGCCTAAGAGCAAGTTCAAACACAACAAAATTATAAATCCATTAACAACACACATAGTCTGTTTTTCTTGTTTCTAAAATTCAGAATGGTCAAAGTTACAATAATTTAATTAGGAACTTAATTACACTACAAATCCATTTCGCAATAAATGGAAGGAATGTTCTAGTCCATGTCTGACCTTTTATAGTAAACATTGAAGAGGATAAACCTTATAAGCATGAAAATTGCCAAAACAAACTACTAATCCTGAAACCATATCTAAACTGCATAATAAAACAGGAGGACTGGAGAGTCACAAACTTAACAAAAAAGTCGAATCCCCGCACAATAATAAAACCTTGAACCTCCAAAAAAGTCGAATCCTCGCACAATCTTTCATTTATTTCTGTTTTTGCATTTCACAACAGGTAGGAGTAGGATATCCAAAAACTCATGGTATTGCTCACTTGTTCTGTGGTCCAATGAGGGGTACAGGAAGGGGTAGGAGAGAGGAAAGTTCATAAGATGGAAATGATGTCAGTACCATTGTACAATATTGAAGTGCAGAAGCTCAATTTTGTGCCAGAAGTTTTATATTGAGTAGGACTGCAGAACATTACCAGGCTGCAAAGGTTAAATTCTTGTCAATTGACAGTTTGTAGAACACAAGTCACACAAAACTCAACATGAATATCAAGCATGAGCTTAATATAAATGTAGTGACTTTGTTTGGACTCATCCCAAGAAGAAAGCTCTTATGGATAAAACAGAAACTATAACAGGGAATAATTTTAGATGACCCAGTATGTGACTCATTCGTGGCAAAAACAACAATTATTTTCCTGTTTCCTTCTTTTTGTTTTGGTTGGTAGAACCTGTTATTTGGTACAGTAAGAATATTGCAGTGTTGGTAATGCAAGTTAAAACCTAGACTTCCAAATCTTTAGGATCTGCTACAACAGCATAACCAGTTACAAGCCAATCTTCATATGTTGAACTTACAGTTTATAATGTTCGCACTCAAAATTGTTCTTCAATAAACTGAACCCCATTAAGTAGTTTTTTGACAGTGGACTGTGTTACCTCAAAAGCTTTTCTATTTAACCTCCTTTGATATATAAATAAGTGACCCCTCCTTTTTCAGTCACGTAGATTTCTTTTTCGATGATCAGTCACTTCTATGAATTCTAATTTTGGGAAACATAACAGAGTTTAGATTTGACTAAAATCAGCTGTGCACGAGAAGAAGAATGTGAGAGTTCCAAAAATCAAACCTGCTCGTCTATTGGTTGAGAATCAGCAGTGAGTAGACCCTTTACTATTTCATGCATTATCTCAGCTGGTTCTCTACGCTCGAGTAAACGGACACCACAATCATGCTCATCTTGCACATTGTTACTCTTTAAGCTCTGAATTGAAATATTAAGGTAGTCAATCCTTTCTCTCAAAGCAATAGAGCATATTTTAGACCATTCTTCATCAGCCAGGCTAGTTGGCTTTGGAGGATCACTACATCATCTTCAAGGTCGATGATTTCAGTATCGGCTTGGGTTATCAATATCTGTAGCACTTGTATGCATGATTTCTCATTTAAAGCATTTTCTTCTATAACATCTACAATCCAAAAACATACCAAGAATCTTCCCAGTAAACAAACAGAAAATTCATAAAAACCCAAAATCTCCCAAGAAACCCACAATCGAAGAGAGCACGCAAACCCCATAACCATAGGCTAATCAAACACCAAAACAATACAAATAAAATGACATATACCCACAGATAAGAGAAAACCCATCAAGATCACATCTACCAAATCTAAAGAAAACCCACAAATAAAATGACATATACCCTTTGGGATAGACATTCTCACTGACAGGGAAGACCACAGAGGATCCAAATCGATCCTCGGTGGCCGTTGATTTGGATTGTTTCTTGATCCTCTGAGGTGGATTGGAAGCTGAAGAACAGCTTTGTAGTGTTGCACACAACACCAGATGGTATAATACTACCCAGAATGATACAGTTAACTTCATCTTTTCACGCATGGTGACGGAATATTTTGTGTTGTTTCGTTTCGATCAGAGGCAAAAAGGGTCAAAAAAGGCAAAGGTGCTCTAAGCGGCAAAAAAAAAAAAAAAGAGTCAATGTGTGCTCTGGCTGGGTGGGGGGTGTGTGTGTGACTGTGTGTGCGTGCGTAGAGAGGGAGGTGTGAGAGAGAGAGAGAGAGGGAGAGGGAGAGGGAGAAGACCTATTCTGGGTCGGTGGGGTGGCCGGTGAAGGGTGAGAGGGAATAAAGAGCTCGCAAAGGAGGAGACAGATAGAGAGACGTTGGTGGTGGTGGTCTTGCTGACGAAGTGGTGGTGGTGGTGTAACAGAGAGAGAGAGAGGAAGCAGAGGCAGAGGCATCGGTCTGAAAAAAAAAATAGAGATGTAGGGGGAGGCTGCGAAGTGACTGAGTGATGCCTGATTTTGAAAAGTAATGAATAAAATAAGATTTTATAGCTGTCGGATGAATGAATTGATTTGAGGTTATCGGATCTTGATGTCGCTCTGTTTTATATTATAGATGTTAGTATAATCATTAAAAAATATAATTTTATCATAATAAAAATTATAATTTTATATTATTATTTATTTTGTGGATCCGATATATTATAAAGTTTAAAATTAAATTTATTATTTGAATGTCCTATAAAATATAGATATTTATATAATATTTTTTATGTCTAATGTAATATATCACTCAATGTACAACTATTTATTCAATGAGATATTCAAATGGTAACTTTAATTTTGAATTTTATAGTATATTGGACTCATAAAATAAAGGGTAATATGAAATTATAATTTTTTATTAGAATAAAATTATATTTTTTAACGATTATATTAATAGATATCAACGAAAATGGGTTTTGTGTTACACGTGCACAAACATCATGAGATGTATGAATAATATTTTAAATGTGAAGGAGTCCAAATAATTGAGTGACAAGCATGAGGGGATCTAGGTATAATTTATCTATTTAGTTTGAGATGCACATTGATACAAATTTCTATTTTTGAGGTATAAATTGAGATTTATTATCTTTGGGGGTGCACATTGATACAAATTTCTATTTTTGAGGGTATAAATTAAAATTTTTTATTTTTGAGGGTGCATATTAATACAAATTTTTATCTTTAAATGAGCAAATTAAGATTTTTGATCTTTAAAAATAAAAATTAAGATTCTAATGATTTTTTAGGGTATAATTTACAATTAACCCAAAAACAAAACTCATTCAACCATGTCCCTGCATGCTCAAAAAAACCCATATCCTTTAAAAATCAACAAGCCTATGGGTAACTCCATCTATCCATCCATAAACTCTTTCTCTCTCTCATTATTCTTCTTCTTCTTCTTCTTCTTCTTCGTTTCTTTTTTATTTTTTTGATGAAAAATATTACATAACCAAATGCAAGACCAACCCAACCCTAAGGCCAATAAAATCTGAGCTTTAGACTCCAAAGTTTTAATTGTATAATTAGACCAAATATTAAAGAAAAAAAAATTAGATCTATAAGATTTTAGATCCCAAAAAAATTTCTATGAAATTTAAAGGATTTTTTGGGTGTGGATACATTTTTTTAGATTTATTTGCGAGATAGTGTATAAATATAATTTTTTACTTTATTAAGTTCACTTTTACTAAAACATTTTGTGATTAGGTACACAATTCAAATAAATTTGTATTTATATTACTTACTCTTTTTTTTTAGGGGAAGAAGGGAAAGGGACTTGAACCCTTGACCTCAAGAATGAAAAATTTTCACAAGATAAGGATTACCATTGGACCAAAAACTCATTGATAAATTATGCATAATTCTTATCTATTGGTAAATTTTTTACTTATTTACCTTTCCTTAAATTATGCATAATTCTTATTATTTCACTCTCTCTTCCCCTGTTACTCGCAACGTTACGCTTTCTATCTGTTACTCTCTCTCCCCTATTTTTTTCTCTATCTCTCTCCTACTTGTTTTCTCTCTCCCGTTAATAATTTAATTTCTTTTCAAATATTTAATGCTTTGATTTGATTTGATTTTTTTCATCTTTCTTACCCTATTTTCTCTATTCTCCTTATTCTCTATTTATATCAATATTACAACAACATAATTACATCAATCAGTTACAATTATCCTATAATATATCAGATAGTTACTCATATATTCTGATAAACCAAACAGTTACACCAAATAATTACACAATATTATAACGCTAGCCTAATTTGTCATTCATTTGTTTACATAAATCAAAGAGTTACACTATTTAATATCACAAAATGGTTACACCAATTATATACATCAAATTTGGTGTGATGGTAAACCTTTTTGTGTAATGATAAACGCAATTTGTTTGGTATATTATAAGGTTATTGTGACTAATTTGGTGTAATTGATTGGTGTAATTATGCGGTTGTAATCATGATATAAGAAGAGAGAAAAAAAATAGGAGAAAAAGAGTAATAATAAGAAAAAAATAAATGGAGATGAAGTGAGAGAGAGAGAGAGAAAATGAGAGAGGGAGATGAAAAAATCAAATCAAATCAAATCTTTATATTTGAAAAGAAAATAAATTATCAATAGGGGGAGAGAGAGAAAGGGGAAAAGAGAGTAAGAGAGTAATGAAGTAGTGAATGATCTTTTAGTATTGTTTCAAAAAAATACACTTAAAGCCAAATAAGTTTCTTTAATTTAATTTAGCTCAAGACTTCCAAATTTCCCAAATTTAAACCCAGTCAAAAATAAATGTGAATAGTTTGGGCTCATGAACCTAGCCTATAATATTAAAAATATACAAAACAAATATTTAGAAAACAAAAACACAAATGTTGAGGATTAAAAAAAAAAAAAAATTAGTCAACTAAAACACACCACTCATTTTTAACCATTCATTCTCTCCTCTCTCTCTCCCCCCTCCCCTGCCCTCCCCTGTGTCCAAAATATAAAACTTAAAAATCTCATTTTATGAATAATTTTTGACTTATATTACAAAAAATATACCAAAAGTTTTTGATTTTTTTGTTGAACTTAAAAAATTAAAATTAGTAGACCATGATTGTTTAAAATAAATTTTATTTTTAAAATTAAAATTGATAAATATTTCCTAAGATCGACTACCAGGAAACTAGGGAATTAGTGATACTATTAATATAAAAATATATATCAAAAGATATTGTACCGAAACTTATTAAACATAAAAATTAATAGTAATTTTAATCTCAAAAAATAAAAAGAATATATTTTAAATAAAAATTTTTAATATTAAAAATAAAATGTCTCACTTTTAGTTGCCAGTTTAGGCCTCAAAAAGTCCTGAACTGTCTCTATCTAAATGGAACCCAAAAATTATAACTCATTAAAAAAGTTAATGAGACTCACTCATCCAAAAGATAATATATATTTGAGTTGCAACTTTTTAAATTTTATTTGAATTGTATAACATTACTTGAAATTTAGCTGCATTCTTTTGTCTTTGGGGTTAGGCTTCTAAGGCTACGGTATTGGGGAAAAAAAATGGGTACCATATCATTGATTATTATTTTTTATAATAAAATTAAATCTTTGAAAGAAGTTACATTTGGTCTTTGATCGATCATAAATACCCATGATCGATCATAAGTTTTCCTTGAATAGTTATACCATCTCCTTTATGAGTTGTAATTTGAATTTTAAAAATTATAACTTAATCTTTAAAAATTATAAATTCGATATCGATCTCAATCTTTTTTTATCGATCATATATTTTATAAATTATAATTTATACTTCAAAAAAATTATAAATTTCGTTACCAAACCTGCAACGGTACCATAGCGTTTCCCCTATCTTTATATTGGACATAGCAGAGAGTTCTAATCCCAAACACCCAGTTATCCCATTGGAAAGGCATAAAACCATGTCTGGCCAAACAAAGCAGCTGAACTTCAACCGCCACAAACCTTTTAAGTGAACCTCATCAACTAACAGACTAGTGGGTCTCCTTTGATTTTGTTGCCAACATGCCACCATATTATTGGTTGTGAATCACACATTACTAGATACTAGATAAGATTGATATTCAACCCTTCAGGACAAAAGCTCCTTATGTGTGTGTTTTTTTATCCTTGTCTATGTACCTATCTTTGAGTAGAGAGAGAGAGACAGGGGTTAGCTGCTTTCCAGGCAGTTGGCAATGGCTGCCACACTGTGTCACCTGAACCATGGTTCTGGGCTCAAGAAACTCAATGACTACCTCTTGAATTGTCCTAATATTACAAGGCAAGTTGTTTACTTATGCATAATTTGTGGTAATTCTTGCAATATGCGACTATAAATTTTGAGTGGGGTGGATTTAGAGTAACAGGTGTGATGTTTATGTGTTTGTCCTTTTTTTTCCCCTGGGGTGGGTGGATTGATCCAAGAATTAGATGTGGGATACTTTTTTAATTTTTGTTTTTTCTTTTTTTTTGGGGGGAAGTTATATTCATTTGCTTACCCCCACGCTCTACAGTAACAAAGTAGAAAATAGGCCCTTCCCATAACCACACAAGAGGGTAACGAGATTCAACTGTATGATCACGCATCTTCGAGAACAGTTTTTCCCTCGATTTGGACGCGATTGAAATAATTGTAAGAGTCTCTTAGCAAACACTATATAATTGCTATACAATTTTCAAAAAGTGGGTGGTGCCTTGGGTGACCGCCCCCTCCAATCCTTCCAAGATCCATCATTGGCCACCTAATTAAACAGTTCCAGTATTGAGGCTATAATGTGGAAATGTTCTGGATAAATTCCAGTTTTGTTCGACAACCAACCTGTCTAGTTCATGAGATGGTTTCTAAAAGAGGATTGTTTGGCTGAGCATAAGTATGAGCTAGATAGGTTACTTTGAACTAGTTTTAAAGACAGTTCTTTAGGTGCTGCATTGAAAATGTAGGCTATGATGTTATCAATATCTCTATGAGGTGTAATCCCATGCAAGTTTAGAATTATAAACAGAAAAGGAAGGGCACTAGCATCATTATGTTTTAGTAGCCAGCCCAGATAACTTCCCTTCCTGATTTGGCCACAAGTCCTAAAACATAAATACCAATTCACACTATTTGGGGGGGGGGGGGGGG